ACAGTCACTTCCTGCTGCCTGCCTCCATGATAGAGGGCAAGGGGACATCCACGGGGTCCTGAACTTGGCCTGCCCACCACCTATCCTCACCAGAGGGCCTGGTGAGTCAAGGTCATCTGACTGCCCCCTCCATGCAGACCTCCCACCTGACAAGGAAGGTGGCTGGAGGGGTTGTGGTTTCAGGCTACACCCCTAGATGGGGATGGGAAATTCCCCAAGTTGGGTGCAGGTAAGTACTTTGCAGGGCAATAAAATATGGGCCTGGTAACAGCCCAGAAAGGATTCGACATTTTGGGCACATGTCCAGTAGAAGTGCATTCAGTATGGCTACCTTGTATTCTCTTTAGTTACACCCCACCTCCTTCACAGAGGCGGGTGTCCAGGGCAGCCTTTTGAGGTGATTTGAGGCCAGGGAACACCTGGGAGGTTGCTTGGCAGGGGGCAGCTTGTAGCTCAACAAGGAAGAAGGCTGTTTGGGCTACAGGATGAAGAAAAGAGCTGGAAGCTGGATGTGGAGGCACATGGGGGAGAGCACACAGGCGTAGGAGAGGCATCAGAGAAACTCCTGTGGGAAGGGAGGGAGCAAACAGTCCACCACAAGGGACAGCAGGGACGGCTGGTCCTCAGGGTTCATTGTTTGCTGAAAGTCTGTGATGGAAATCCCACCTGCCTGGACAACCCCATGGGAAGGTGTACCAAGGGAAGAAAGAAGAACCCAGAGAGAGATTGTGCCCACTATATGAGGGAAGGAAAAGAAAGTAGAAAAGAAAACAAACAAACAAACAAAAAAAACCCCACAAATAAATCAGAGAGGGATTGGGCTGCCAGCAAGCCCAAACCACTGGGGGAGAGATGGCCATGAAATGGTTGGCCCAGAATGTGCAGCAAATTGCCCTTCAGAAAGGCTACACCAGCGTCCAGGGCAAGTAGTTTAAGCAAGATTCTACTCCCCTTGCTAGCACTGAAGGTAGACTGTTTTCATATTTGGCCATTTGACAGGCATCAGAGTTTTAAGTGCAACCACCAAGATCAGTTTTAGCAAGTTCAGTCTGAATGCTCACATCCCATTTACAGTTTCCCAGCCCCAGGAGACAGATCCACAAACCCTGCCCCCTCTCAGCAAGTGGCTGGGCCTCTCCTACCACCCCAGTACTACAAAAGTAGAGAATTCACCTAGTACAGAAGAGAATAGGCTTTACTGCTAAACCCAGGAATCCAGCAGTTTTTGTTGTATAACAAATCACCCCAGAACTTAGTGGCTTAAAGCAACATCCACTGATTTGCCCATAATTATGGGAGTTGGTAATTTAGGCTGAGCTCAGCTGAGGTGGCTCATCTCTGCTCTGCTGGGTATCCTGTGGGTTCACTGACTTTATGGTCAGCTGCCAATCAATGGCCTCACATGTTTGGCAGATGACTACTTGTCAGGAGGGTCAGTGGTGTTAAACCGGGTGTCTTAGTCAGCCTGGGTTGCTATAACAGATCATCACAGAATGAGCAGCTTAGACAACAAATATTTCTCACAGTTCTGGAGGCTGAAAGTCCCAGATCAGGGTGCCAGCCTGGTTGGGTTCTCAGTGAGGGTCCACTTCCTGGTTTACAGATATCCGCCTTTTTGCTGTGTCCTCACATGGTGGAGAAAAAGAGAGCTAGCTCTCTGGTCTCTTCTTTTTGTTTTTGAGACAGAGTCGTGCTCTGTTGCCCGGGCTAGAGTGCTGTGGCGTCAGCCTAGCTCACAGCAACCTCAAACTCCTGGGCTCAAGCAATCCTTCTGCCTCAGCCTCCCAAGTAGCTGGGACTACAGGCATGCGCCACCATGCCCTGCTAATATATATATATATATATATACTTTTTTTTTTTTTTAGTTGTCCAGATCATTTCTTTCCATTTTTTAGTAGAGATGGGGTCTTGCTCTTGCTCAGGCTGGTCTTGAACTCCTGACCTTGAGTGATCCACCCGCCTCAGCCTTCCAGAGTGCTAGGGTTACAGGCTTGAGCCACCACGCCTGGACTCTCTGGCTTCTTCTTATAGGGCTTCATTCATGAGGGCTCACCTTCATTACCTAATCACCTCTTAAAGACCCCACCCCCTAACACCATCACTTTGGAGGTTAGGATCTCAACATATGAATGTGGAGCAGGGAACAAATCATTCAGTCCGCAGCACTGGGAATGTGCCATTTGTCCTCCAGCAGGCCAGCCCTGGCTCGTACACAGGTGGTGGTCACAGGAGTCTCAGGGGAAGCAAGACAGGTCTAGTCCAATGCATAAGTGCTTTTTAAGGTTCCTGGTGGGAAATTCCATCCCACTTGTTCTTAGAGATCTCCCCTCCCCTCCCTTCCCCTCCCCTGTGAATTGGGCCAAGGCCTAAGGATCTTACGGTGTCCAGGTATTGGAGCAGGGCCTGTGGTCACCCTCAAGCCACCTACAGGCCTGTCCCCTGGCCACTCCCTGGGGTGCCTCTAGCTGCCTTGTGGAGAATTCCTGGAAGGAGAGAGGCAGAAATTCCAGCTAAAGGTTCAGATGGGATCGGCAGTGGGGGAGGAGGACAGATAGGACTGGGTGGAACTTGGAATGGGGTCAGCACGGAAGCAGAAGGCAGAGATGGCTTCGGATAGAATTCACCTCTCCCCAAAGCCTTCTGGGCTGGGAGAGAGGGATTCCTAGCTGGGGCTCTGCCCGGCAATTTTCAGCCTGAGTCAGCCTGTTCTACTGCCTGGCCTTCCCAGCCTCCACTTGTCCTTCTGCTCTGGGAGCTGGCCCTCTCCAGCCTGGCATGCCCTTCACCACCACCAAAGGAGAAGCCCTTGCAGTGCCTGTCATTTATATGAAGTGGAATAACACTAGCCACGTGGTGTGGGGTTCAGGTGATGACCCCAGAGGGGGACAGGGGCAGGCTGGGAGCCATGTCCTTCACTACATGAGCAGATGCTTCTTCAGAGGCATAATGCGTGTGAATCCTTTCACCATTGTTGTCATACATTTTACTTCTACATATGTTATAAACCCCAATACCATTTTTTAAAAAATTTTGAGACAGGGTCTTGCTCTGTTGCCTGGGCTAGAGTGCAGTGGTGTCATCATAACTCACTGCAACCTCAAACTCCTGGGCTCAAGTGATCCTCTTGCCTCAGCCTCCTGAGTAGCTGGCAGTACAGAAGTGAGCCACCATGCCCAGCTAGTATTTCTACTTTTTGTAGAGACAGGTTCTTGCTCATGCTCAGGTTGGTCTCGAACTCCTGGCCTCAAGCAATCCTCCCACTTCAGCCTTCCAAAGTGCTAGGATTACAGGCATGGGCCACCACGCCTAGCCCCTAATACCTTTTTATTATTTTTGCTGCAGCTATTTAATTGTGCTTTAAAGAAAATAAGAATGATGAAAAAAATTGTACTTACTATTTCCCATTTTCTGTGTTCTTTCTTCTCGTAGGTCTGAGTTTCCATATTGTATCATCTTTGGCCTTTAAAATTGCCTTTAACACTCCTTATTGTGTATGTCTGTGGCAGACACATTCTGTCCACTTTTTCACTGTATTAAAATGTATACAACATAAAAATTGTCATTTTAGCCATTTTAACGCGTACAATTCAGTGACATGACAGTCACAATGTGCAACTCATCACCACCACCTGTTTCCAAAACTTTTTCATCACTCCAGACAGAAACTCTGTACCCATTAAGAAATAATTACCCATTCCTCCTCCCCCTACCCCTGATAACCCCTAATCTACCTTCTGTCTCTAAGAATTTGCCTACTCTAGATACAAGTGGAATCATACAATATTTGTCCTTTTGTGACTGGTTTATCTTACTTAGCATAATGTTTTCCAGGTTCATCCACAAAAACATGTATCAGTGCTTCGTTCCTTTTTGAGGCAGAATAATATTCCATTGTATGTATATACCACTATTTTTTTGGTTTTTTTTTTTGAGACAGTCCTGCTCTGTCACCTGGGCTAGACTGCCGTGGCATCAGCCTAGCTCACAGCAACCTCAAACGCCTGGGCTCAAGTAATCCTCCTGCCTCAGCCTCCTGAGTAGCTGGAAATACAGGTCACGCCTGGCTAATTTTTTCTATTTTTAGTAGAGACGGGGGTCTAGCTTTTGCTCAGACTGGTCTTGAACTCCTGAGCTCAAGTAATCCTCCCGCCTCAGCCTCCCAGAGTGCTACGATTACAGGTGTGAGCTACTACGCCTGGCCACCACATTTTGTTTATCCACTCATCCACTGATGGACACTCGGGTTGTTTCCACCCTTTGACTACTGTGAATGTGGCAATGACCATGGTTGTATATATTTCAATCCTTGATTTCCATTCTTATGGATCATATAGTAATTTTGCTTTTAATTTTCCGAGGAACCTCCATACTGTTTTCTGTACTGCTTCACCATCTACATTGCCACCCACGGCGCACAAGGGTTTACACAAGTTTCCACTGACAAACCACAGTCTGTCATGTTTCCACAAACTCAACCTGTCTATCCGGGGAACCTTGTTCTCCGACTATTTTCTTCTCCTCCGGCCACAGAAAGAGCGTTAAGAGAGACTCCTGGGTCAAGAGTAACTATTAACCGGCCCTTCTCCCACTGGGGCTGCCCTGTGGAGCGCCCAGAGCGTAATTCGAGGCAGAGACCGTGGAGGAACCGCAGCACCGGCTGGGAGGCGCCCAGGTGCCGGCCCCGAGCCCAGGACCACCGGGGCACAGAAGCCCCGGGACTAGCCCAGTCCTCCTCGCCGGGACCAGACCACTTCCTGGTGCTCCCCAGTGACGTCCACACCCCTCGTTCTGAGCGTGCGTGGCCCCGCCTTCCCCCAGGCGTTGCCGCGGTGACGGCGCGTTCCTGGTGTGTCCGGCTGCCGCCGGGGCCGGCCGCCGCGCGCAGTCTTGGTTCTCCACAGTGGCTCCGCGATTTCGGCTCCGCCCCGCCCCTCCCCCGGGGAGACGGTCGCGCAGCGATGACGTCGCAGGGGCCTGGCCTGGCGCCGCGGACTCCGGAGATGGAGGAAAAGGAGCAGTTACGGCGGCAGATCCGCCTCCTGCAGGGTGGGTCGGGCTGGGGGCCTGGGCGCGCGTCCCCTTCTTTCCCCCTCACCTCACGGCGGGCCCCGACCCCGCCCCGAAGGGCGTCGCTCTCCGCCGGCGGCCTCCTGATAGTTGGCGCGGGTTGGGGCCCCAAGTGGCTTGCAGGCCGGCCTGGATCTGTCCTCTGCCCGGGCTTCTTGGGGGAAGGCTGCTGGCCCTCCTGGGGTTGCGGCAGTGGAGACGGGGCCGTTGCTTAGTAACCGGCGGGTGGCGGCCCCATCCCGCCCCCCGCTCGGGCTGTCGCGTCCTCCGGCGCCCACCCTCGCTCCCCGCGCCCGGCGGCGGGACGCAGGACCGGCCCCCTGCTCCTGCGCCCCAAAGCCGGCTACGGCGCGCGCGTTTCTTCCCCGACGCCCAGTTTTGATGCTCTTTCTCTGCCTACGTCACACTTCCTTGGCATTCCAGGTCCAGACTCCCCAGGCCTCAGCTTCCACACTTTAAAATTTTTTAAAGCCAAGTTGGTCTTTCTAAACGTAAAAAAAAAAAAAATCCACTTTGCTTTGCTTTTATTCTCATGAGAAGATTAAGGATTTGGAAGGCATGTATGGAGGAGAGAGTGAGCTGCCTTCCACTTTGGGCGACTTCCTGGGCTTCTATCACGCCTGTCCTAAGGTGTCCCCAGGTCTGGACATGGCTTTCTGTGCGTTGGGGGGCAGGACTTGTGGTGGGGGAGTGTTGATAACTGGGAGGCTGGCTACTGATTGGCTGGTTAAGTCTTAGAACATCCCTGATTGTTCCAGTTCATGCCTATGTCCCTGACCTCCTGCACCAGGACAGCTATCTAGGGGCTGGCTTATTCGGAAAGTCCTTGCGGTTGTGTCGGTCCCCTACATTAGGACTTCAGCCCATCAGTTCTCTCCCCTTCTGTATGGAGGATGGCCTGACATCTAGCAGGTCAATGGCTTATGTTCCTAGTATTTTTTTTTTTCTCATGTCCAGCACCAAGTGGCCAGGTGTGTCAGTTCTGTTACACTCAGTGGAGATTATTAGGTGCAGTCCTAATAATCCCTCTGTGAGCAAGCCAGAGGGCCTCTGTGGCTGACTTTTCCCCTCTGGTCCAAGCATTACAGCATGGAGTGTTGCTGGTCTCTTCATATTGAGTGATGCTTCCCCTCAAAGGATAGTGGACCCAGTAGAATGGCAAATAGAGCCTATTCTGCCACAGGGGTATCTTTTCTGGGTGAGTGGGCAGAAGAAGTATTGAAATAGAACTGAGGGGGATGGGCTTATGGAAGCTACAGGCCTAGGGGACTTGGGCTGAACTGTCAGTGGTTCCCAGGCAATGGGGGCTGTCCCTCCTGAAACTGGCAGGGGCTCAGGAGTGAGATGGGGCCAGGGAGCATCTTGCCAGCTGATGCCTATCCAGGGTAGTCATGATTATTGGTGATTTTACTCACACCCTCTGGTTAACTGAATCTGTGATTCTGTCTTCTCAGGTCTCATTGATGACTACAAACACCTCCATGGCAATGCTCCTGCCCCGGGCACCTCAGCTGCTTCCCGGTGGCAGCCGCCCCCTTACCACAGCGGCAGGACCTTCAGTGTCCGCTACCCCCGTCCAAGCCGGAGGGGCTTCTCCTCACACCAGGGGCCTGCATGGCGCAAGAAATACTCTCTCGTGAATCGGCCCCCGGGGTCCTCAGACCCACCTGGCGACCATGCTGTGCAACTCCCCAATGGGGCTGGGAGCAGCCAGAGTCCAGACACCCAGCAGTATGTTCTTGAGAGACAGGTCCAGCTCAATCCAGATCAGAACATGGTCATCAAAATTAAACCACCACCCAAGTCTGGCTCTGCCAGTGCTTCAGGGGCCCAGCGGAGTTCTTTGGAAGAATATGAGGACAACCCTTGGAATGGCCAAAGACCGCAAGAAGGTGAGGGTGATCCCCCTGTCAGGCAGCTACAGCCCTCAAGGCCAGGAAGAGCCAGGGGTAACTGCAGTGCAGAGGACCCCCTTCTGGTCTGCCAGAAGGAGCCTGGCAAGCCCAGGGTGGTGAAGTCTGTGGGCAGTGCGGGTGACAGCTCCCTGGAACCCCGCCGGACGGTCAGTGAGAGTGCAATTGCTGTCAAGAAGTGCTTCCCGTCCTCTGTCCTGCCCCCGCGCTCCAGCATGGCCCTGGGCCGGAAGGTGGGCCCTCATTCTGCGGCCAGCTGTGCTGCACAGCTCCTTGGGGAGGGGAGAGTGAATGCCGGCCACCCAGACCAGCCAGCTCCCTCTGGCTCAGTGGTAAGCCCAGCCAGACCTGCCTCAGGACCCAGGCAGGCCCGGGAGTCCTCACTGCTTGTGTCCTGTAGAACCAACAAGTTCCGGAAAAACAACTACAAATGGGTGGCTGCCTCAGCAAAGAGCCCTCGGGGTGCTCGGAGGGCCCTCAGCCCCAGAGCAGCTGCAGAGAACGTGTGCGGGGACCCCTTTGGCACAGCAGACAAGATGGAGAAGCCACAGCTTAGAGCTGACCCAGAGGCCAAGCCCAGGAAGCCGGCCACGTCCTCCAAGCCGGGGCCAGCCCCCAGCAAGTACAAGTGGAAGGCCTCCAGTCCCTCAGCCTCCTCCTCTTCCTCTTTCCGTTGGCAGTCAGAGGCTGGTAGCAAGGACCATGCCTCCCAGCTCTCCCCAGTCCCCTCTAGGTCCCCGCCAGGGGACAGACCAGCAGTGGGATCTAGCAGCTTGAAACCTCTCTTTGGTGAGAGCTCACTCTCAGCTTACAAAGTGAGGAGCCGCACCAAGATCATCCGGAGGCGGGGAAGTACCAGGTAGGTGTCTCCACCTGTTGCCAGGACAGCATCCTGTCTGGGCAGGTGGGGGCAGGGCTGGGGCCAGTAAGGCCCTCATGTCCCCTGAGCTGTGAAATTATGAGCAGTTGCGCATCTTTGAGCCTGTACTCCCTTCTTGGTCTGCAGAGCGGGTGGGCAGGCCCATCCCTGGGGAGGTGGTGAGGAGGAAATGAAGTCTCCTGGTGGGTTTATTTGGCACCACTGGTGTATCAACCTGAGCTTGGAGCTTTGTGTGTGATTGTGTTTCCTGTTTCCAGTAAGGAATGAGGCAGGGAGTACTGCTGCCCTGTAAGGCTGCATGAGGCTTGGCTCAGGGTGGTTCAATGCCAGGGGGAGGCAGGAGTCCTGGCCCTTGTGGTGCCAGCAGGCCCACCCTTTCTCCTGCTGGTGAGAGACCAGAAGACCTCTGGCTTCTGTTCTAGCTGTATAGGGCTCACAGATAGATGGCTTTATGCCAGGCCAGGTGCTGGGGGAGCAGCCCCCACAGACCTGCATAGGGTGCGTGTGTCTGCTGGGGGGTGAGGCAGCCTGAGAGCTACAGGCCCCATGTCTGGGCTGGGAAATGGACTGGAGCCCTGGGCACTGGTTGGGGGTGTATGGTCTTTCTTGCTCTGCCCTGGGCTCAGGGCTTTGGGCTACAAGAGGCCTTGTCTTTGGTGGGTGCCCTGACTGGGCCCAGGCTGGGGGTTGCTCCAGTTGGGCTGCAGCAGGCAGGCCCAGGTAGGGGCTGGTGGGCTGCAGCTTCCTAGGCTCTCCCAGCTTTGGGCTCTAGACACCATTGTAGAGTGTTGAGGCTGCAGGTGGCCTTCGCCCCCAGAGGGAGCAGATTGGTATTACATCCCAGCCGTCCCCTTGGTGGCCGGGTGTCCAGGCCAAGTCACTACCTTGAATGCTTGTCACTTTCCTAGCCACACCCCCCCCCCCCCAAATTATGGCGAAACTCTAAGATGCTGCCATAGCCCAGAGTGCTTGGCCTGGGGTCAAGGACTTCATCAAGGCAGCAGGTAACAGTGGGGGTGGTGGCTGGGCAGAGGGCTTGCCTTTGTCATCTGACACGGTGACACGTGCCATTGTAGAAGGCACCTCCTTGCGAATCCCCCTCAGGAAGCTCTTCCTGAGGTCTGGCCTTGATCTTTGGCTCTGGGTAAGCTCATTCCCTCTGGTTCTGGTCAACCAGACAGGTGCTGTCTTGAATTACGTGGGCTTCTCCTGCATGCCTAGCTGTTTCTGGGTGGCAGCTTGGCTCTAAACCATGCTGGTGGCTTCCTCTGTTCCAGGAAGTGTGGAGGGGAACCTGGAGAGGCTGCCCCTCTTACAGAGAGGGCTGGGGAAGGCCATGTAGGGCTGGTGGCAGCCCTTCCTTGGGAACATTGTCCTTCTCTGTCACTGCCTCCCCTGGTCCCATGTGCGTCCTCATCTGGCTTGGGGAGCTGGGGGGCACACTGGGTGGGAGTCAGGGGCCAAGGCTCCTCCTCTGCTCTTCCTGGGGAGCAGCAGCCTGCCTTAGCGCCAGGGTCCTCTGGGATTGTGGGTTTGGAAGGGAGGAAGCAGAGCAGCAGTTAGTTGGCTGTGTCTGATGGGGAAGGCAGAGCCTCAGAAGGAGCTCAGCCTGCCCCTGGGGCTGTTCCCACGCCCTCTGGGATCTGGGTAAGGAAGGGTGGGTGGGCAGAACCACCCGGGGAGCCTGTTCGGAAATGCCTACCTACAAAATGCCTACCTGCATTTTGTCTCCGCAGCCTTCCTGGGGATAAAAAGAGCAGCCCCTCACCTGCCACCACTGCCAAGAGCCACCTTACCCTCCGGCGGAGACAGGCCCTCCGGGCGAAGAGCAGCCCTGTTCTGAAGAAGACCCCTACCAAGGGCCTGGTGCAGGTCACCAGGCACCGGCTATGCCACCTGCCACCAAGCCGGGCCCACCTCCCTACCAAGGAAGGTATGTCCAGGAGGAGGAGGGGCTGGGCACAAACTGTGGGTCGCACCCCCTTTGGAGCCCCACCTGCCCCTCTAGCACCTTGTGCTGTCAGAAGGCCTTGGTCCCAGAGGGCTCTGACTGGCAGACAGTGGGTGGTGGGGTGGTGGGCTGGTGGGCAGAGTAGAGGGTCCAGGCTGATGTGTCCTGCAGTCTGAGTGGTAGACATGTTGGTGGGAAGGTGAGTAGTGGCCTTTTCTGTACATTCCTTGATGTGGACCCAGCTGTATCCCTCCTGAGGGAGGAGAGGGCCTGGCTTGTGCTGGCCTGGAAGGGTTTGGCTTCATTCACTTTCTGAGTCACATGTGCTTTATGAGCAGCTGAAAAGAACTGGTCCACAGCCACAGCACCCTGAACGTGCCCAATCTTGTATGCAAAGAACTGGTCTGGGCTGGGCGCGGTGGCTCATGCATGTAATCCTAGCACTCTGGGAGGCCGAGG